GTCTGGTTAGCAGGCAAGTGTCTTAGCCACTATGCTACCAGAGCTCCCAAATGAAAGGGTAGCAGTTCAAATCCACCAGTTGCTCTGTGGAAGAAAGATGTAACAGTCTGCTCTTGTAAAGGTTACAAGCTTGCAAACCCTACAAGGTAGTTCTACTCTGTCCTATAGGATTGATATGAGTCAGGCTTGAAGGCACCAAGTTTGGGGTTTTGTTTATTTAGTGTCCATGTGGGCACAGGGCCTTGAGCTCAGGGGAGGCAGAGAATTGGAACAGAGGACCCTATGAAAAACTGGGAACCTCAAAGAGCTGAACCTTTGAGAAAGGCTGAGCTAGAAAAAAAAACAAAAAACAAAAAAATCCACCCTGCAGCAGATGGTGCACAAGGGGCTTCATCTCTTTTTCCTCTGAGTGGCAAACCAATGCCTTCCCCCAAGAATTCAAGGTCTTAGCTTGCACTTTGCATGGAATTGTGGCTCAGTTTGCCCCTTTTGCATGATCCAAGGGATCAGGCAGAGAAATTAATGTCAATATTGGAAAGCAGGCCTGGCCCTTGCTCACTTGCAACTAGTACTTTCAGGTAACAGAATCAAGTCAGAACTTTATTCAGTACCAGACTGATCTCCAGACAACTTCTTCTTGGCTTTTACCCCTAAAAGCCCTCACAATCCTATTGCTGTGGCCATTCCAAGAACCACCCCCCACGCCCCCTGCATTCAAGCCCAAAGGATTAGGGCTTGCAGGTGGGCTGGTGAGCAGTGAGCTTGCCCTCACATTCTAGCTGATGAACAGCACTTTGCACAGCCAGTATCACCTTGGAGCCATTGGTCTGATGGTCATCTTTCCAGTAATGGGACCACTTTCCTTGCTTTTCTGATCCAAACCCAGAAAGCGTGACCTGGTGAATGAGAGAGGAGTGTGCGGGTCACCAGGTTGTATCTGTCTTTGCCCCCATTTCCCCTCACTCAGCATCAGGGTGCCAGGCTGCCTCCTGGAGCTGGGAAAGATAATGTTCCTACCTTCTCCAAGGAAGACAGACACTGGACATGGGGAAATAAACACACTCACAGATTACCCCGGAGCCCAGAAAAGAGAAAGTCAACTTTCTCTTCAGAGTGATGAAAAGCTTTTAGAAACAGGCAGTAGTTACGATTGTGGAAGATTGTGAATGTAAGTCATGGCACTGAGTTATATACACACTTTAAAATGGCAAAAAATGGCAAATATTTTGTGATACATATTTTGCCATAATAAAATGAAAGAAGAGAAGTATCAGCTAGCTGTGCCTGTTCATATTGGAGGAAGAGAGAGGATCCCCCAGGCAGACAAGGGAAGGGCATTCCAGGCAAAGGGAACAGCATGTGAAAAGGCATAAAGCAGCTGTTGTGTTTGGGGAACCCCAGAGCCCACATGTGTGGGCCTGGGAGAGCAGGGGATGGGAGGGCCAGATCATGCAGAGTCTTGAAAGCCAGGAAGAACTTTGTAGACTCTCTGTTGAAGGCATTGGGGGACAGAGTTTTAAGTGAGGAAGGGACAAGGAATCTCTCTTACCTGGTCGGAGGTGTGCAAGGCATAGAACAGAGCCACAGGCCCCAAAGATGGCTACTGACCCTGGTTGTCCAGCTAGTTGCCCTGGGTGTTTTTGAGGAAGGTGACGCTGATCATCAGGACTTGGGGAAGAAGGGGGCAGGGGCTGACTTGAGGTTATATCCTAACCAAAAACCAAAAACATTCTACTCCTTCGTTTTCCCTCTCACCTTGTCTGTGTGGTCTTCGACTCCAGTAGGGAACTGGAACCGTCTGAAATCTAAGAAATAAGTGGGAGGTAGGGGAGTTTCAGCAGTCCCCAAGGCCTGGGAAAGTCCTGGAGGTAACCCCATTAACCTCTGGGGTCTCCCTGCAGCTCTCACTATCTTCCCCTGGTGACCTCCCCTCACCCCCATACCATGAAGCTCTGTGTTCCCAGACCACCACTTCCTCACTCAGGATGTCTGAAGTCCATGCCAGATCGGACAGCTTCAGCAGCAGCAGCACCACCTGACTCCGGTAACCCTGACCGCCAGCATTCCTGGGATAGTTGATGTGCTCTGTGGTCCGGTTCCCCACATCCCTCCCAAAGCCCTGGACAGGAGCCTGGTTCATCCTGGGAAGGAGAGAAGAAGCTGACAGAACTGGGGGTAGGGGTGTGCCTAGCCTTCCTGCTCCCTGCCCTCCCCTTAGCACCCACCTGGCATGTTGGTCCATGCTGTAGCCAGAGCCCCACAGGATCTGTGAGCTCCCCACCACCACACAAGTCCTACAGTAGAGATCAAAGTGGCTGCCCGAGGGTCTGGGAATCACCATAAGCAACTTCTTCCATGCTTTTCTAAGCTTGCTTTCTGAGTTCAGGCCCTAAAAACAGCAGGAAGGAGGAAATTGGGGGCAGAGAGCCAGGTATCAACTACCATTATAAGGAAAACTAACTTTGGTTGGTAATAGCAGCCCCTGGGCCAGGGGTACAGGTCAGGGGTTGGAGCTATGAGAAAGGGTGCTGCATTAAGCCAGGGCTGAGGCCAGAGGTTTAGACTATGATGAGAGATGGGATGGGCCTGAAAGATAAGAGATGGAACTGGGCCCAGTACTGGTCACTGACCAACCACCAGAGCACTGCATCAGGGGTCACGGACGGTTTTGCTCCCCTCAGGAGCTCCAGGGTCCTCTCATAGCGTGCATCAAACCAGTTTGATTCTCTAGCTGTGTGGTGGGAAAGGGAACAGTTGAGGGTCCCAGAAGAGCAGCCATATTTACTGAATTTGAACCAAGGGCAATTGCAATGCCATGGTATCAGGTACGTCAGTTCTTCCTGGAGTGCTGGTTCAGGTGTCAGATCCAGGCAGGGGGCCACCAGCCATAACATGAGCACCCAGAAGACCCATAGAACAGAAATCTGCCACCAGTGCCTCATGTCTGGCTTAGACCATAGCTTGTGGCTGGCAGCAGGCTGGCTCCTCTATCTGGAAGTGGGAAGGATGAGGGTCTGAGGCCACAGACACCCAGAATCCTTCTGTCTTGTTGACCTTTACAGCTCTCCAACCCTCCACACCATACCCCCTCCCAGGCCCTCATCTTCTGCCTCCCTATCCATTTGCTCACCTCAGAAGGGTCTCTGACTGGGCCTGGGGTAGAAGCAGCAAGAGCAGAGAGATAATATATGGTGTGCGCTGTATCCTCATTTGTAGAAGGAGGGATTATCAGTCAGTGGGGTCCTTCCTTGTGCCAGCCCAGTTATATCAGAGACCTCATCACAAAGTACACATTGTGACTTCCCACCTTTGACCTGTCCAGACAAAGCCACCATCCTGTCCTTTCTCTAATACACAAGCAGCTCCACTGAATGTAAGTTAAGGATTGACTTTGTTTCTCTTCTTTACTTCTATATTCTAAAACTTAGATTCCCATAAAAATATTTATGCAATCAATGAACAGGGGTTGCAAGGGAGCTTTATTTATTTATATTGTGATTCGAGT